TCCTGGATATAATCCATGCACATTCCTCCCCAAACGTGATCTTCTGTAGAGAAAAAGAAACAAAATTCTGTGTGAAAAACTTTTTGCTCTTACTCCTGACATTGCTACACTTCATTAATCATGATATCCAAAAATATAAAATAATAAAATTACATTTGATCACATAAAAGTTCATGAAATCAATAAGGTTACAGACTTTTCTAATACATTTTTGAAAGCTAACTATAGGGCCAGTAGTTATTTCTTTCTCCAGTGGGCTAGTAGAGTTTTGCTCCAGCAAGATAGAGAAATCAAATCCAAGCTATCTGCCGAGTACAGTGACTGCATTTGCTTCTACTTGGATTTCTGCATATATTTGGGATTTACTGTAAATGTAATACTTTTATGACAAGAATGATCTGATGTTAGCCAAATATATAGTTACTCCACTACTGCAGCAGGATAGATGTGAAAGGTTTTTTGAAGTCTTTCTCCTTTCAATTTTGAAACTTACATATATACACTTTTACACTGTTCAAAAAGAATTGCCTGACATTCTTTTGGGGGCCTTGTGCTCAATCCACGGCAGTGTGGAGACCAATTGGCATTTGACAATGAAGACAAAATCGGCAGATCCACCACTGGCATCCTGTGCTTTTCACAAATAAGCGCATGCTCACCCTACGCACTTTAAGACAGATGTAACAGGGTCTGGAGAAACTGTGGAAAACGTTGTGCTCCCTGTCACATGGTTCAGCATGACCGGTTTGGTGGTGGGAAGAAATCACCAGGACACCATCTGCCATCTTATTAGCTTGTCATACAAGCATGTCAGGGTCAGACAAACTACTGAGTGTTATTTATGTTGTTGCAATGAAATTTCTGCAAAATGATCCAGCCTGCCACATCAGAATTTCATTTTGAATTAAGGGGTTGTGTGTGAATTCAGCCCTTTGTAGGCTAATCATTTTAATTTCAATCAAACGATGCCATCCTGCCGTTCCTAACACAATGCGCAGTTCAGTATAGATATAAGCATGACTTTTTTTTAACAAGTTTTTTTATTTCTTTCTTTTATTTTGTAGCAGTATAATTTACATTTATTACTTATACCATAAGTAAATTTGAGGGCTATTTGTAACAAAGTATTTACACATTATGGCATTAATACTTTTACTTAAGCAAAAGGTCAGAGTGTTTTTTGAGAACTTTATCCAGATTTAGTTTGAGAGAGTGACCACTCACTTTGGTTTTAACATAGCTGGTGAGACAAGCTCTTTGGAGTTGTGAGACTCTCTGAACTCATGCAGCCTCACAGCGACACCGGATCCTGCCATCACTGTCCAAGTTAATGTCTGCAACGGATCCCAGTGAAGGTCAACAATGAATCCACTATCACAGTTCAAGTTTGAGAGTTTCCTGAAGAAAACACAGGAGACACAATAATCTCTGCTGAATAATGCATTTCTATATCATCAGTCAGCCTTTAAATCTGTGAACATGCCTAATGACAACCCTAAGAAATACAGTCATCTTTGAGCCTCTAAAGTAATATATGTGTGCAGTATTCTGGTGTCATGTGCTAATATATTTTGATGGGTAATGATTATTTTGACCACTTGAGGTTGCTAGTGAGAAGTTACTGTTTTAGTTATGTTCATAGTGTCGTATTTTTAGTATATATAAATATAGTATTTTACTAACTAATAATACTAATACTAATACTAATAACTATATTTTGTACAGCATATTTAATCCAAGTATAGTTGTAGGCAAAAGAAATGCAGTCAAAGCCTGCATATAAAAACAATCACATTAGTGAGTTTAAGCACAGAATAGGAAAAATATAATGAATTCATTTATTTAATAACTTTGGCTTTGAAATATGTTTCCTACATAAGAAAAGCCTTGTTAATTGAAAAAGCAGCGGAGGACGTGCAGCCTTACCTTAACATGAGAGAGTCATCACATCTATTCGTCCTATCAACCCGAGACCAGATACACTCGATTCTGCTCACTATTTCCTATCCTATGTTTCTCTTCTCTGACAGAGAAACCCAACACTAAGTGCTCTGGCAACAAAGAAAGCTGATACTAGCAACTTTAATCTCTCTCTGCCTCTCTCACTCCCTCACTTGCTCACACACAGACACATGCATACACCTGTAGTTCCAATTTGACCTGCTAGTAATTTGCACAGAGAAATATGTGGGACATCTTATCTTGCATACACACATTCATTCATCCAGAACTTCAAATTCCTGTAAAACAATGTTTCTATCTTCAGTTCAGAGGTTCGATTTTTTTTTTTATATTATGGCGACTGGGTTGGTTATCATAAAGAATATCAGATTCTGCTGTAGACACAGGCTGGGACCTCCCACAGTCCACTAAGCACTTCTACTCCAGTTGATTATTTGCTATAATGGCAGAACTTTTGTCTTCTGTTTGGTCCTTAGTCTCACTTTTTCTTTCATTCTTTCTTTTTTTTCGGTTTGTTTTCTTTCTACTCAAATCAGTCATGGCAGAGCATCTGTTGGTTCCATGAAAATATCTTCTGGTCCTTCTTCTTATCTACAGTTTGACAACAGGCTATCACACTGTTTACCCTATAAATCCTTTGAAAGGATGTTGCTGTAAGCTGGTGCTACATTAAAAGAACTGAGCTGAACTGACCTCAGTTTAATTAATATTAACATCTCCAAAACAGGAATAATACCTGGAGCGTACAAACACAGAAGTTGACACTTGTTCAGACGAAGAGAGTTCAACATACCTAGGGTATCTTTGTGTTATCTGGTTTCACTTATTCTAACTTACCCAAGTAATTGGTTGACATCATCTAACCAGTCACAGAGGCGTGTTTCACAGATCATATGACTTGTTTTCCACAAAAAATGATCCCAATGAGTGGCGCCTGCTGCAGAAATATTATCAAATGGTGATATAAATCTCTACAGATCACAAAAATGTACCAGTAAAATACAATATTGTTGTTAAAATGATGCTGATAAATGTTGCAGAAAATGTTTTAGTTATTCTGGCGATTTAGTGCACACAATAAATATTTTAATTCCAATTAATAGTTTTATCACCAAGTGCGTTCTCACTGCAGATTATTATTTGTAATGTGATGGCTGCAGTTCACACTGAATCCATTTAAACATTAAAGCTTACTATCACACAGCCTAATAAAGGAGATGCTTCAACTTGTCGCAGATCAAAAGTAAATCCTTTTTATTGGTCGAACAGGTATCCTTGCTGTGTATTCTGTGTTTGGAGGTCCTTCCAGGAATGTTGATGCTATTTTCTGAAGATTTATTTGGTCAGTAGGTGATAATTTCATACCTGCTGATCTTTAATCTGGATCTTAACCTGCTCTGTAGCAGGTTTCAAAAATATTTAAAATATGCTCACAAATATGCTAATACAATAACAATAACAATCTTCATCATAATCACAATCATAATAATGGCATCAAGTGCTGAGATCTAACAATAAAAAACAAAAAAAATCAACGTGTACAATGAATTTACATCTATTAATAAATCTCATTTTTGAACAATATCCTTAAACTACCTCATGGACGTTGTAGACCAGAGACTGAGACTGAATTGTTCTTTCAGACACCAATTGATTAATGCAAAGCACCAGCACCAGCAACAGGAGCATCACTCCCACAGCCAGACTGGGACCGGATCCTTAAACAAAGCAGCCATTGAGTGGAAGGCTGGGGAGGAAAAGAGGGGGGGTTGCTATACATTTTCTTAAAACACAACAAAACAAAACAAACAAACAAACAACAAAACATTACCGAAAATACATATTTTGTGTTGGGCAAAACATACACTTAAATATACACACAAAGAAGACACTTATATCTGCTGTGAATCATAGGAAATGAATTATAACTGAACTGAAACTGGACAGATACAAACGCTTCACACACACACACACACACACACACACACACACACACACACACACACACACACACACACAGCGAGAGAGAGAGGGAGAGAGAGAGGGGAGAGAGAGAACAAAAGCCAGGGATCAACAAAAGCCTAGGATGCCATGAGGAGACAGATGCTGCATTCACGTGTTCCTCGTAAAGTCTCTTTTACCACATACACATGTAGCCAACAAACAAACGTGGAAAGTCGAGTGTCTCTTTCAAGTGCAAAAACAAAAATTGAAACACCTGGGTTTTCACAAGATAAAAATAAAGGGTAAAGATGACATAAAGCAGAAAAAGTTAGAGTACTGAGAAGAATACACTACGAGTAATAGCTCAGTGGAAATCCACAAACGCTTTTGTAACCACAACGTAATCCCCATCATTCGAACAGGATTCAAATCATTTTAGCGCCTTTAGAGTTTATCCACGGTTTCATAACAAGGGTCCAGCAAAGAGATTCAATCACACCAAGAATGGCCCCTTTTTAGCCAATAGATGCCACTTACAACTTTAAGAAAACGTTTCATTTTCCGTTTTCTTATGAGTTTAATTCTATAATTGGTTACTAAATGGATAGTGAGACTCCATTTGTTGATAAATACTTTAAAATGTAAGTTTAGGACTTGAGTAAAAGCTTGTTTCTACCTGCATTTTAATATATATAAACTATAAGGCAGGTGGAATGTGGAAAAATATTGCATAAAAGCAGCATTTTGAGCTTTTAAATGAATCTGAACACATATACTTATAAAGTACAGGAAGAAATTATTTGATGCCAAATAAATAATTACCTTTGAACCTCACATGTAATTTTTCTGCAGCTATTTGAATTAAGTAAATAAGCCAAGCTCCTGAAATATAATCTATGTTTTAAATTGCGTTTTGGTCCCCCACTTAAACAACATGTCATAAGCAGTATTGTCTGATTCAAGTTAAGTAATGTGGCTGCGACTAAATGGCGAGGATAAAGTACCCCAAATTATTTGATTAGCTGCGACTTTTTTGTCACCGTTTTTAGAAAGTTCACATTTCCGACAGCCCTTGAAGCCAGCAGGAGTCCTCCCAGTCAGATCTGGCTGAACGTGACGAGCCGACTCGGAGCCGAGCGAGGTTTCCTGGCGGAGCTGCGGAGGGAGCAGGAGTTGAGCGGGTTTGTCTGTCTGTCTGTCTGTTCGTGTGTCTATCCGCCGCCGCAGTCGCTGTCTGCCTGGGATATAAAAACAAAACAATACACCCCCGAAAACTCATCTTTACGGCTTCAACGGTCTGGAGACGGCATCCACGGCTATGGACCCATCGATGTCCTCCTGTTATCCACACTGAGCGACGTTACTCCGTCGGATGCTCCAGTGCCCAGAGGAGAGGAGGAGGAGGAGGGGGTATCCCTATAATTTTTCGACTGCCAGGTGAAATAATTATATGATATAATGTGTGTGGGGTGGACGCTTGGGTTGTTTGTGTGAAAAGGGTGATAAGGAGGGGGGAGTGGGAGTCGTTGTTTGTTGGGCACGGGCAGCGGGTTTGTCTCGAGCCTGGAGCGGAGGTTAGCACGCTAGCTAGCTGCAGTTAGCGGACTGCTGCTGCTTCGTCATTCGCCGGGCTGGGAAGGATGCGGCGCTGGGATGCTGCCGCTGCTGCAGCAGCAGGGAGGGGAGGGCCAGTAATGGTAACTGTACCGGCCGTCTGGCTTCGGCCCATCGTCCTTATGAACTACACCCCCAACCTCCCGTTTCCCCCCCTCCCACCTCTCTTCGTTGCGCCCCCCGCCTTCATAAACCACAGACTCTCGTTTCAGTTCAGGATGAACAAACAAAAATCGCAGATGATAGATACCGGAGTGGTTTCATCTGAGAAATAACACCACTTCCAACAGCTTGACTGCCGGACTGTCAGTTAGCCAGCTATGCTAGCCAGGCATTGAACTGGCTGACCGGCTAAGATTAGCACTAGCATCACCCCCCTCACCCTCCCCAGCTAGCATCCCTGGCTAACCCGCATCCTCCAGCCGAGCCATCACAGGCCAACCACACAACCACCTTCCCATCCTGCCGTCTCACACCAGCTATTTCATCGCCACTAACAGTTAGTAATCGGCATAAGAGCCGTTGCCAGACATTTATTCACGGCTCGCCCATTAAAATATAATGGAGCACGCCAAGCGGATGTTGTTATGTAACAGATAATGACACCACACGCCCTTGAAACAAAAGCTGTTGTTTCAGTATTTGTTTGTTTGTGTGTGTGATGCAGGGCACAATCATGAACAATAAATCACAGACAGGGGAGGGGGGAGTGTTTGTCGCACCGAGGGCCGCAGCTCTGAGCCGGCTTCTGAAATATACAACCCCTGCTCCTGTCAGCCATTGTTTTTGTTGTCATTGGAGATCTCAGCATTTGTTTTCCAGCGCTGGATCTTCCCAATGGTGCTTGTGTGAGCCATGCATTGAAGCAACATGACCAGTCGGTCATCAGAACACAACCAGTACCATATGTTGTTTGAATGCTGAAATGTGAATGATTATTGTCAGTATAAGGCATGCGATTTTTACCCACAATGTGTTCGTTTTTTCATATGAAAGAGAAGCCACTGATGTGGGAATCAGGTTTTATTGTTAAATTACTTGTAAAATGATAGCAGAGGTGGACCTACTAGTCTCATCTCATGTTGTCTACTGGCATATAGGAAATTCAGTTACTTGTGAGACATTACAGTGACAAACCTTTATGAATCATCATCATCACTGCATCTGTAAAACTGATCAGGAAAACAATTATCTCTAAGGTCATTTGTCAGAGCATTCAGATAGCTCTGTTCAGAGGCAGTTCAGTGTGATCTTCATAAGGAACAGAATTGCATTACAGAACCATTTAAAGCTAATTGTAGTCCCTCTGTTTATAGTCACTGGGGTGATATAATTTAGCATATAGATATCCATTATCTTTCTGTGTTTAAAGTGGATAATTTGACAAATAAATTGATATAATAAGTTCTTACATTCTGCTAACCTGAATTGGATAAGTGGTTAAGAGCAATGGCTGGGTCTTATTAAGGCTTAAGCTGAGGGACAAGTTTTGGCTCCAAGGAGCTATATTACAGTTGCACACAGTTAGTTGCTCTAAACATGAGTTTATTTTTTAATTGTATGATTTTTGCATTCATTTACAAAACATCATCATGGAAAATGTCTTTATATGCACCTGTGAAAGTAATTTCAGGTAATATGCTGAAATAGTTATTGTAATGAAGCAGTGTTAAACTATACACGTGTTCAACATTTTAACATGCATACATCCATTATTTCACTTGATAGTGTTGGTTCTGTAAATGTAGTCTAAGTATCAGTGATGTAGAGATTGGGGCTCTGTAGGGGCCATCAGTTGCAGGACTCCTTGTTCTTTTTGCTTGATGCATCTGGCTGGATGTTTGAGCTTTGAGTTTGAGCTGCAGCATGAATTTGAGATGATCAGATGCCTTCTTGAGATCTTTACATGATGGAGAAGAATCTAAACACTTTAAATACCCAAACTTTTGCATAATAAAGTTATACTATTAAATGTCAAATATTTATCCCATACATGTTATCTCAGATCCTATGTTGCCTCTGAATGTGAGTCAAGGAGCTGATGCTGGTGGGTTTTTTTTTTCCTTCATTGTGTTTTTGGTAGGGCTGCACAAACTGTTCAAAAATTCACAAGCACGCAGAAAAAAGTCCCAATAGCTGAAGCTGCTAAGGATTTTGAAGTTCCCTTTCTGATCCATGGGAAAAGGACAACTTGTTTTAACCTCTCTTTTTAAAAATATGTTTAAATTTAGAATTGGGGGGAAAAAAAGATAACTTCGGAAAATACTGCCGTGCATTTAGATATATAAACATCAATCAACAGGGCCAATATTTGCCAATAGAGATATTCAACTAAAACTATATATTGTAACTAGGGCTGTTCGATATAACGATATATATCGGTGACGATATAAAAACGTCTATCGTTTCATATTGCGCTATCGTTTGTTTCGTAGTGTGGCAAAATATAATGTTTACGGCAATATTTTTTCATCGTTTTGATGGTCACTGTAGTGGTTATATTAATTTGTTAAAGTTCTCTCTTTCTCTTATATTTAATATGACCACACTATGGACGGACAAGCGACTGTTTTTACGCGTTGTCGTTAGCAACCACCACGGTAAAACAATGGCGTGGCTCCACTGTCTGCTTGTTTGTTTTGCATATTAACCTTTCACAATAAAGCTCAAGATCCTGTTGAGACTTTTCAAAATAAACTAAATCCCGTGAGAGAGTATGCAGTGTTTACGGATGAGAAGCAAAAAAGAGGCGTTAGGTGCTAAAAAATAAACCTTAGACTCAAACGTTAGAACAGGCTTTTCCCCGCAGCACGCCGTGTAATAAATACTCACAAAGAAAACGGCGCCGTTACAACTTATGTCTAAAAATGTATAGCTTCATGCATCGGCTAAAAGTCATAACTCCAGGGACACGACGCCCAGCTGAAAACACTTCATGCAAGTCGAGCTGCCTGAGATTCACAGAATTTACAGAAAATTTTACACTTTTGTGATTTATATCGTTATCGGGATGATAGATGTCTTATATCGGGATATGAGATTTTGGTCATATCGCACAGCCCTAATTGTAACTAGGGCTGCTACGATTAGTCGACTAGTCACGGTTACGTTGACGAATAATTTAATAGTCTTAGCGATGTTTGAAGCTTTGTAAGATCCCAAAAGACGCAGGAAGAAGTAGTAGGATTTAAGAGTGTAATAACGGACTGAAACAGAAGATGGCAGCACTGCATGTACAAGGATGCCAGCTGCCATTAAACCCCGAAGAAGAAGAAGCTGTGTCCCAGAATTCATAGCGCGGCCCTGCTCAGTTTCCAACAATGGCGGCAGTAGTTAGTTTAATATTACTCTTATTATTCTTTCTGGGTCACAAAATAAACGTTTAACATATTTTCAGGTGAGAATGTAGCTGTGTAAACCTCAAATATCTGCTCAGTTTATCAAGACACCACATATTTTCAAAAGCGCTCCGACATTTTCGATAGCTCCATAGCTAGCCAGGGTTCAAGGTTCACTAGAGCCGGTGAGAACACCGGACTCCCGGCAATCTTTTTCAAACCCACTGCCGTCTTTCGCGGCGGTGGGTATCATGTTTAACCTGAAAGGTATTATGTTAAACATGATATATAAGTCACTTAGATAACTTAAAAATGATATTGTTTGGCTTTTTTCTGTATTTTATTTGTTCCTGAGTAAATCGGTTTGGCTGAGATTTAATTATAGTTTTTACACAGCTGAATAAACGTCAAGCAGACAGCTGATTATCAGAAGTGTGAGATGCTCGAGAATATACTCCGGTGTCCTGTTATATTTTAGATAGCAAGGAGCAGACGGCTGAGTTTATTAAACTTCACCGAAACAATCTGCAAATGTCATTAAAATTTAATAAACTATCATCTTGTCTTTATTTTTAGTTAGCACAGACCTTAAACACTTAAAGCTGTAAGCTAATGATAGTTATATAAGAGCAGATGCATGCTGGTGCAATAAGCTGTACGTTTTACGTCCAATGGATGCATGATCTGATTAGTCGACTAATCGCAAAAATAATAGGTGACTAGTCGACTATCAGAATAATCATTTGTGGCAGCCCTAATAGTAACAAAAAGAACTGACAGTTACACATCCATGGATCTGTTGCTGCTCAGTGTTATTTCTAAAAGTCTCAGAAAATCTACCAGAACTACTGACTAAAATGTTTAGTTAAAATCTTCCACAGGTGTTAAGTTGGTTTGAAATCGGGTGGATTAAGTAACTGTACTTATAGCTGTCCACATTTCATTTTGATTCAAAATCATATTTAGATGGCTGCCTGCATGTAACATTTTTAGGGAAGACTAGCAAGTTGTCCTTTATGGAAGCTGTGTCAGTAGGATTGAGGAGATCCTCAAACTATTCCTTCAATTGCCCAACTAAATTCTCAGTTGAAGCCAGCAGGACCATTTCCTCACTGTATAAAGTACCATGAGAGCATGGTACTGGTTCAACAATTCTGTTGAACCATTATACAACTTAGGAGGGCCTAAGTTGTATAATGGTTCAACAGAATTGTTTGGAGGCCAATCAAATGTTTTGCTCCATGGCCTTATACTTCCGGCGCCCCCCGTGTGCGGCAGCCTGTTACAGCAGCTCTGCTCATTCTGAGTTTCTTCTTTCTTATCTTTTTCTCGTAATTTCTTTATAACTAACGTATTAGTAATTAGACTCTGCAACCATGTTCTACCGTTTTGTGCTAGTCCTGGTCGTTTTTCTCAGTTTATTTCTACTTTTTTCACCCGTGTCTGGGGACCCAGAGCAGAGATCCTTTGTTTACAGTAAGGATC